AGATGGCTCCTCAGCAAGCGAACTTTGGAAGCTTCCCTCACCAAGGATCATGATGATCATTAGGACCAGTGGGACGCTGCCTGGACCCAGGACCATAGGGACACCTTGGACCCGTGGTGGTAGCTATCAAACTCTTTCCTCTTTTTACTTTTTCTTTTTCCCTTTCCTTTCACCCTCTTTACCTATCGCACGCCACTTTATGGGCAAACAACAAAGTTTCACTGATTGAAGCAAACCCCTTTGGTGTGGTTGTCTTAATTTTGCACTTAAAGATCACAGCAAACATACCATCACAAGTCCACCGAGTGGACTGAATCCCACATGAGGACCTGGAACATATGGCAAGATCTACATCAGACAGTTTCACCAGAGAAACATATCCAAGATCCCTCTCAGATATCATAGAATCACAGAATGATTTGGGTTGGAAGGGACCTTCAAGATCACCTAGTTCCAACCTCCCTGCCATGGGCAGGGACACCTTCCACTACACCAGGTTGCTCAAAGCTCCATCCAACCTGGCCTTGAGCACTGCCAGGGAGGGGGCAGTCACAGCTTCTCTGGGCAACCTGTGCCAGTGTCTCACCACCCTCACAGTAAAGATATGAACGACTGCTTTCTTATTTACATCTAAAATGGAAATATTGACTTTGGAAATTCCTGGTATGGAACCAGCCTATGGGATCCACTCACTCTGTCTCCTCCAATGTCCAGCTTCAGTATGAGATCATGACTGATGGTGTTCAGGGAAGAACTCAAGCTGCCTATGGGTGAACTTTGTATTGAATGTATCCATCCCAAAGTCAGTCCGCCATACATGGAAGTTTCTTGATGAAAGAAACTTTACTGCTGAGATAAAATTAGAGCCAGTACCTACATGTGTAAGGTTCTAATGATCTGGGGTACCTTGTTCCACTCTCAACCATCTTGAGGAATGGAAAAATGGCCTGAGGAAAAGCCAAACAACCCACACTACAATGAAAGCTGTATACTGGTATGATAAATACAAGACCACAAGACGACTTTCCTATCAGTTCCGATCCTTTTGCAAACTGTGCCAAGGAAATAAGTAAATTTTATTCAGCTGATCAGAATTAAGGCTTCATACATCACAGTCTCCATGGTCAGTGATTCAAAGACAGAGGCCCTTCTGGAGAGTTAGCTTTAGGTGTGCATGGGCAAGTACCCAGGTCAAATATGAATGAGTTATCACTGAAAAACATGTTAATCAAGTCTTAAAGCAAGGCAGATCACCTCATGTAACCCCATGGAGCAGAAGGAAGGTATGGGGTTTTCACATTTTTGGAGTGTGATGTTGAATCTGGAGAAAAGAAGGATGGTTTCCCAGCTGGCAATCTAGTGAAATATCTGTACCTTCACCTGTCTCTGCAATTACGTATGGGTCTTGCCAAGACAGTGCAGAAATTGGCTTTAGTCTAAGAGCTGAGAAGTCCTGGCTCACCAAAGGTGAGAAACAACAAGAAGGTGAAAAAAAAAAAAAAAGGAAAAAAAAAAAGGAAGATTAAAAATTATAATGCAGGAAGAAGTAAAAAAAATAAAATAAAAAAAAAGAAATAAGAGAATTAACAAAATTTTTATTTTAATATCAAGGGCAGTTAGAATATCCTTGTCTGGTTTTCGTTTAAATGCAATCATCTGCATGGGATCTTCCATACAGAACATTGATTTTATAGTATCTCGCGGTTTTAAATGGGGAAATAGTATCAGATACTTTGCAGGTCCAGATTTTTACTCATTTCTCCAGATATACTGCTGATTTAAACTCAATTCATTTGTACAGATGATAAATGTGCCAATGTTGTTTAATCATAAACATTAAAATTGATAACAGTGAATTTTGGGGAGACTACTGAATGCCTTACACTAAGCAGCATGGCAAAAAGCCAAAAAACAACTAGCTAATTTAAAAATAATGTCCCAAACGAAAAAGAAAATGTTTGCTCTTGGCCTGCTATGATTGGTTGGAATGAGATGGAAATGATTTAAAATGAAAAAACAGTCCAGCGCTATCCATTATTTCTTAGAAATTTACAGTAAGGGAAAAATTCTTCTTTAAATCCTCCTTACTGCTCAATAGTCACATCCAAGAAAATTTCAGAATAGCATACACCTACAAAATTAAAATAAGTTATTAAATCCCAATAACTGTACTGTCCTAAAGTTCATATAATATTATTTTGGAAGACAGGAAACTGTTTAAAGTGATTCCTTTTTCTTTCCTCAATCTTTTCTCAATTGTCAGCACTCAAGAGCAGTAACATGCTCTTGTTTTCAAAAAACTACTGTGGAATATTTTGGATAACTTCTTTTGCCTATTATTCCTCATATGAGTTTTCCTGTATGTTCCTGAAACATGTCATGTTAATCACAATAGGTAAGTACACAGTTAGGTTTCTAGGACTGATTCTACATTCTTCCTGTACAAGTGTCATAAACTTATAGAGGAGTAATATAGAATTTTGGCATTAGCAGATTTGCACTTTTTTTCTTGTTACTATTGTAAGAATGTAGAACTATGTCTTTTACTTAAAGTTCACTCTAATCTGTACATTTTAGGGACTGAATTGAACATGCATATAGCTCACAAAAATGGTTGTTTCTTCATTCTGCAGCAGTCCTTGCTTCTGCAGCAGGACTGCTGACATGAATGGTAAACTGCCATCAGAAAACAGTGTAAAACATCTGGACATGCAGAAAAATCCTTTCTCCTCACCTACAGCAGACTCTGTCAGGGCACCTATAGACTACAAAATCAGATCTGATGTGGAAGAATGATCAACAGGTTTAAGAGAAATGGACGAGATGATGTGCAAATGTGTATTTCTAACTTCTCTACGTGACCTTTAGGTTAGTTTTAAGGGTGGAAACAGCTGAAAGCATGACTTCACTGAATTTAATGACACATACCAATTCAATACTTCTCTCTCTGTAGTTTTTAAAGTGTCACCACAGCATCACAAGAAGCACATCGAGTAAAATCACCTTTCCTTCTGGTTCTGTCATCCTGTCTAGAAGGTCACGCAGATATAAGAAACTATCATGAAGGCAGTGGCAACAGGAGAAAGCAGAAGTCATTCAAAAGAAGTGTTGCTGCAGTACTGTTCAAAATGCCTAGACTTAATATTTTTAATAGAATAATGTAAGAGTCTGGCAATATGAAAAGGTAGAGTCAAAAGTAGCATCAATCTGCCTTCATCCTTTCTGTACCCATAAGGAACTTGCAGGAAGTTTGGGGTACTTTCATTTGGGCTAACTGTGATAGCCCAAATATAGTTCATCCCCAAAACTGCCAATGAGGGTACTGACAAGAAAAGTGGGCTGATTGGTGGACCTAAATGCATACTTTATAACATCTCTCTAAAATGCTTTTCTTGAACCTTCTCATTAAAAAAGGAATCGTATTACAGCTCTACAACATCTGTATGCATCTAGATGACCCAAGATCTCCTCTCTACTTCTTGGCTTGTTTAGAGGGAACAAGGTCTGCTCATCTCATCAACCACACTGACAGTAGGTAACAACAACAAATTAAATTGTACAGTTTGACGTACTGTTTGGGAAGTTCACAAGATTGCAGGACATAAAAAAACCCAATCCAAACCAGAGTGTTTTCTTGTACCTTATGGTTGCAGAGAAATTTCAAGTCTTGGTTAATAATTAACCAAACTATTTTTTGTGAGTGTCGGGATAGGAAGACTTACCTCTCTGTAACTCTTTTTGTGAACTCTTTACTTCTTTATAATAAAACTATATACATTCTCTGCTTTTAGAAGCTATTGCCATGTTTTTAGCTACGTCTTTTAGCAAACTTCTGCTAAAGACACCTCTCTATTTTGTACTAGGAATTCTATCCTATGCTTTACATAATATTAATCTAGCACTTGTGAGTGGTAAGAGAGGCAAAAATATGTAAAGGTAATTAATTGCAAACATGTATCAACTATCATTAATAAACCAAACATTTACTAACATTTATAAAAGTATTGATCAGTTTTGACACTAGGAAAACTGTAACTTCACATACTCATTTACTCTTATGTTTTCCTGTTCCTCGCTTCTGAGGTCAAGTCCCAATATTTCCTTGATATTTATGGTCTTCCTACACTTCTGTATCATTCTTATGTAGATGAATTTCCTCCAAATTCAGGAGCATTTTACTTTCCTAAAATCCCTCCAAAAATGGAGAATTTGTTTCTGATTTTTTAGAGCTCAGATCTAGTTTGGTGGATTTTGTTTGTTTGTTTGTTTTTCCCCATAAGGATTTCTATGACATTCATTCTTTCCTAAATGTAGATATTCTGAGGTAAGCAAGGATATATGCCACATAGAACAGCAGATCAGAAGAGAATGACCCCAATTTATGACACTGGAGACAGACTACTTTCACATTTTTATCAGCTGAGAAAATGAAATAAAGAATTCGTTGGCTTCTCTGAACAATGGATTTGCAATTTGCATAGAAAAAATGATGGCAAAACCTCATAAGCCATCAGTGTTTTGCCACAAGCTCAGTTCTATTACATTTTAGTGGAGGTTCAAAGCTGTCTGAAGAAACCATTCTCTTCTTTCTCCAACCATAGATGTGCCATTTGAGAGTTCAACTTCCAATAGGAGCAGTATCCGACATACAACTAATTTTAGAATATAAAGTGCTCCTCACCATATTGGAATACATATAATTTAAAATAACTGTAAGCCTAAACTTTGCAAAAACAGAAAATTCAAGCACTAACAAAAAAGCATAATTTGTAATTGAAAGAAAATAATATTTAAAAGAAAAAAACACTTTTTTGTCTTTCCAAAAAGAGACAGAAATTACTAAGTTTTATTTCCCAAGAGAATTATGCCACTTTTATAAAGAAAATTACAGTCACCACAAATTGCTCTCAACAATTCCAAAGCTTCTTCATTTGACCACTTGAAAATCAAAGTTCTTTAAGATTATAAATATAACTTTTTATAACTCTGTTATTACGTACTGTGAATGGGGAAAGGGGGCCAATCTTGTGGCCATAGCGTCGAATGGCCTCTCTGATGTGGCTGGGCTGGATGGCATCGCTTTGAGCCTCTATACCACAGGCTGCAGTGCTCTGCAACAGAAAAACACATAAATTGTTACTAAATCAAAAACACACAACAGACCTACAGTGCATAAAGTATGAAAATAAACCTTTATAAAATGGACCAATTTTTTTTTCCCGAGGATACACATCATTGCTGCCACACACTACATTAGAGAAAAAAAGCTATTGACAAATCAAAGAGGACTTTTACATGAACTCTGCTTAAGAGACCCAAAGAACACCATATTTGTCCTCTTAAATCTTTCACCTAGTGCTGCTGTATGTTGCAATTGAAAAGAGCAGAAAATGTTCAAACTAAAATGAAAGGGTCATATAAGTCATACTGCAATAACCACAGAAACTATTTTCAAAACATTTCAGGCTCTTGTTATGATGTCAAGGGGTGGGGAAAATATTGAACAAGTACCCAAAGTGGAAAGCAATTTGACACCAAAATCACCATTGAGTAAAATCAGATTGAAATTTGAAGATGAAACATGTGACATAATGGTGTTACAGGGATGCAAAAATATTTTAATTACCTCAAACTGGAATGTTTTCAAATAACTTTTTGGATTAAGGACCCTAAATAGGAAAAATAAGAATTCACTGCTACTGGTCCCTTGATTCTACAAAAATATCCCCAGGATTTTAAAATAAAATATTCTTTTCTCCTTGCTAGTCAAACTGAAATGTTGGTTTAGGCTCCATCTAGACACTGCTGCTTGCCAGAATTCAGACAACTTATCAGAATGATGGTTGCTTAAATGAATGAAAACGATATTAGTAAACACACTGAGAATGACAAAAACTTAAATTATACACAGAAGTTTAATATACACACATACACAGTCCCCACATATATTTACATTATATACTAATGCTTTTAAACATGGGATATTTTTTACAAAATGTTTTATTTTCAAGAGTGCTGAGTCCACTGGAGCCTCTGCGTGTACACACAGAATTATTCATAATACGATGGCAGATCCTTCCCTTGCTGATTGATGTTCATAAAGGGAATATGAAACTCAAATATTTTCTGCTGGACTGGGCCTTCATGGGCTAAGAATAACATTCTTCTCCAAGTTAACTCGTTTGTCTCAATGCCTCAGTTATATTCAATATATACCTAACCAAATTGTATAAGTCATGGGAGCATTTCATTAAAACTGTGCACTTTTTAAAATATAATTGTTTTAAAAGGCATTAAGTCAAACACTAAGAATTTAAAATAAACTCACAACACTTGAGAAATACAACGTATCAAAAACTACATCTCCAGCTAAATTCTTATCCTAGGAATTATAATGGAAATCAGCCAGAGAAACAAAACATAATTAAATGTAATATTAAAGAGGAAGAGGTAAAACCAAAAGCCTTCAGAGAGGTTTTTAGGATTCACTAAAGGCTTTCCAAATGGAGTATACTAAGGGCAGAGAGAAGATGGAATGTGTTAGGAGTATCTACAGCACTGATGACACAAGAAGGTGAAAATACATTTTTTTCTATATGTCATTGTAAAAAATCACCGGTTTAACTCTGTGAAAAATGAGTATTTGTTTTAGGAGAATAATAACACACACAAGAAAATTACAAGTCATTCCACTGCATAGCAGCAAAATGAGTACTGCCAGCTCATTTTTTCAAAAAAGCCCTAAGTGACTAACACTGCTTCCTATCCAGTTTATTTAATAAAATCTATTTCCCTTGTGGTTTTAAGGTACATATATCCCTCTCAGATAGAATACCAAGGCTGTACAACAGAAGACAGGAATTGTAATATTTACATTTCACACACTGAATATGAGACGTCCATATTTTATGCAAAGTAAACAAATATTTAGATTGAATGCAACCAACTGGCATAAAAATAAAGCAGGTCAGGCAAAGTTGTTATAGGCAAAGAAGGCAGTTGGCCTAAGGCTGCTGGGAGCAGGAAAATCACAACCACCTCCTTGCCTGCTTTGCTTATGCTTTGACCTTCAAAACCTTCGCTAGCTGCTACTGTCAGAGAAGGGGATGATTATTTGGGGTGATGCCTACTGTTGTGGCTGTAGAGGAGCAGCTCATCTTAAAAGCAGCAGTTGTTACCTCAACAAAATTCAGTTTGCAGGTATTACTGAGAAGCTTTAGGCTAGTTCTGATAGAAAAAACACCAAACAGCACATTTGGCCCTACATTAACATCAGTAGTTAACATGTGATATAGGTTAAAATTAATATTAAAAATGAGAATCATTGTTTCCTAAAGATGTTTTCGTTTCTTTTTTTTTTTTCCCTTTTTTTTTTTTTTCCCAGGCTTGGGCACCAAATACCTTTTTTCTTTTTCTTTGTTTGGATTTGGTAGAGTCCTGTCCAATTCCACCATTCCCTAGGGCTCCTGATGGCGTTTTCCCAAGATGTTGCTGTCCTGCTGATGCTGGGGGTGTGGGTGTAGGAGGTGGTGTGTTTTCAGGAGAGTCAAGACTGGTTTTCACACTTGTAGATTGCCCTAAGAGGTGTGGCTATAAAAGCAAGATGTTAAACAGCCATATAATCAAATCATGACAAAAAACTAATTATTGCCTTCTTCGATTTACAAGAGATGTAATACAGAATTCAGTTTGCTCATTCTAGAGGTTGCTATAATACCTGTATCACAGCAGTGCATGTAATACAGCACTTTCTGCAACAACTTTAATCTCCAAATCTGCAATAAAGAGAGCGTTTCATACAGAATGAAGGAATTTCCACCCCAGAAAAAAGGATTTACATTTAAATATAAAGATGTTGCTAAGAATTTAACATTTGGAGCTATAATTTAATGTCTTGTCACCTAAAACCATAACTCAAATGTTCATAAACTCCATAACAGAAGTCTGTATCAATACCAGATTCAATAACATCTACTTTGAAAGCAACAAACTACCAAACACCTGTAAAAGTAAAACATAAAATGCATTAATATGTGAAAAAGCAAGATTTACCTCGGTAGAGTTGTGATACTGGATGAAGGTGGCAGATATGGCATGACTGAACGGGTCACCAGCTTTGGGAGCCATGTCCTGCTTAACCAAAAGTGCCAAGTCCACCAACTGGATGGGCAAAAACAGATAGGTTTACTGACGTGGTACTTACTATGAATGTCATCGTAACAAGGATGAGAGCGAAGAGTTGTGGGTTGAGGAAGATTATTCTTAGTGTTTCTTAGTTGAAAACAAAATTATTCAGAGATATTTCAGCCTAAGGAACCTTTTTTTTCCACTTCTGTAAATACATGGAGTAATCTATCTGCCCAAGAGGGCTTAGCTTGGCACTAAGGTAACATTTTGTTTTCCAGGAAAACCTGCTTTTTAATCCAATTGTGCAATGGGGTTGAATGAGCCTCAGAGCACTGCCAAGGGTCACATAGTGAAGTATGTGGTTTCAGTCTGGACTTGAATAAAGTTCGTGCCGGACTCCACTCTCCTCTGTAACCATTATAAAACATTCCTACTTGTGTATCAGATGGATGAATATGGTATAGTACACATCTGTCACACAGTAAATAGAAAGGCAGACAGGAATCCAGTTAGCTCTGCTAGTTGAAGTAGTGACCACACATTTCTGAAGGGGCTTACAACACAGTCACTTGAGGCTGAAGTACATCCAAGGGTAATTAATTCATTTTGTTTAGTTAACTAGAGTTCAAGCAGTATACTCCCTTACCTGTGCCACAGTCTCGTACGCTAAATATGCCAAAATCTCCATTGCAACTGCATTTGGCTTTATTTCCATACTGCTACAGTCCAACCAGTCACGAAACTTGGATGCTTTCTTTGCTGTCAGTTAAAATCATAAGGGGAAAAGGAAAAGTTAACAACAGGTAGGGCAAAATAATTTTTTCCAGTCATAGAAAATACTGCAAATGTGAAACAAGGAGTGTCAAGGTGATTTGATTGCCTTTTCAAGGAATTATCAAAATTGAACTAACAGGGATCAACATTCATACAAGAACTCCACACTGCTAATGGATGAGATCACTTAGGAGAAAGTACAGAGAAAAATCTGGGACAAAGAAACATGATATTTGCTGAGAGAGCAGAAGGAAGAAAAAAACGATGCTCTTACTTAGGTCAGTGGTGGACAAGCTGGTCACAGAAAGCTGTGGAGACTTGGACAGAAGAGGGAGTAATATAGAGGTCTTAATGAGGGCTGTTTGTGAAGACAGGAAAACCAAAATGGATTAAATACAAGGTGGGAGAATCATTTGAGACAGCTCTTTCAAAAAGAGTCTTCAATAAGGACTAAAAAGCTAAAGACAAGTCAGGTGTTAAACAGAAAACAAATGTAAATAATGGTTATTTTTCTAGGAGGGAATGAGAAGGCTGTATTTGGGCTCTAAAGACAAAAAAAAAAAAAAAAAAAGAAAAAGGAAGAGAAGGGTGATAGAGACAGCAGGATCACAAAAAGTTCCCTAGAGTTTAGATTTGTAATCCTGTAGTACCTGATGGGCCTTTTCTTTGGCCTGTCTTTGAAAGTGCACAGAAACACGTGGGGCTGTAATTATTAATTATTAATACATATTGCTAGAACAGGCTTCTTGAAGTCCCTTCCAGGTTTATTCTCTTGTGACACAGTTTTCATGGCTTTATGTTAACAATAAAAGGGTCTACTACTTCAAACATATCAATACATTCAATTTTTACTAAAATATAAGAAAATAAGTAAAAAATAGTCTTTGCATTAGTTTTGAAGAAATGTTCCACATGGCCTTTAGTATGTTCTATCTAGTTGAATTCATATTATGCAATTTAATTCATGCATGAATCTCTCTTACTAATTTTTCTAAGCACTGTAAGTCTCATTCTTTAATGACATTAAATGTCAGTGAAAAAGAACTGTATAGACTTGTTTATTTAAAAACACTGTGGAAATACCATTGCGGTATTTTTATAGATCACAATCCCCTGGTCAGCAACATTCAATTTTATGTCGCAAATTTGAGATTTCTATTTGTTCTGTCTCCAGATGATAATTTTTGGGTTTTAAAAATGACTTTATCACAAACCTCTGATTTCCTGAAGTCACCCTAATCTGAAGTACCATTTATATAATGGCTCACAGATGTGTGATGCCAAATTATAACTAAGCTTACAAAACATATTGAATTAGGAAAAGAAATGCTTACAAAACTTGTTTTCCTACATTTGCTGACATTTGCTGATAAAGAACAGTATTTCAAATGTGTCATTTATTTGCCATAAATGAGTCACTCTTTCTTCCAATTTAAAAGGAAGAACAAGATAAGGTCTCTCATTTAAAGACATCATTGTGTTCAAGCCTGTGTTGTAGGATCATGTGCTGTTGTGTCATGATTTTTACTGGCTCCTTCACCTCACTTTCTCTAACATTTGACCTAAAGCCTTAGTCACCACTTAACCGCTTGTGTAATGATGTTTTGCTACATGATCAAGCCCATTAATTTACAGCTCATTATAGTTGTGGCCCACAAGTACTTCTAGTAAGTTGGTTTTCAGTGCTAGTAAAGCCCTAATTCTGTCATCATGTTATTAGTGTTGGAATGGCGTATACTGATGAATTTGGCTAATGTCGAATAAATTCCACAGCAGGAGCTTACAGCTTAAAATAGAAAAAACTCTTTAGTAAGTTCTTTGTGTCTCTGTGGATGGGAAAATAAAAGCAAAACTTGCTGCTCTTCTCTAATTTTAGATGCATTCCAAAAAACCTGGAACTCTGGAACTTTACTAATATGCTGACTACACCACCACCATGACAAACTTCAGGCAACTATGGTTGTTTTAATACATTAACTCTTTACGAGTTCTATCTTTGCAGTCATCCCCACCAGCGCAGTCTTTGAGCATATAGAAAGCTTGGTACATATTCAAATAAAACGCTCTGCCTGACAGCCTGAAACTATGCTAAATTAGCTGTTCCCAGGAGTTACATGGACAAAGAATTTAAAGTTTTATTATTGCAGATGAAACAGAAGTGCTTTCAAAAAAAGGGAGATTCTGCTGTGTTCTCTATTACATGAAATAATAATCGAACATCTTAATATAGTGCAGCCATTATAATACTTACAAAAACTCAACTGCCGACTTTCACAAAATTCTGCATACTGGACTGAGTCCATCACTCGTGTTTGTCTTTCCGCTCTCTGACAAAAGAGTAGAAGTACATGATGTACCTTTTCCCAGCAAGAACTGCATTCCACAACAGAAATTATAGCACCAAAGCACCCCTGCCATAACCTTGAAGTAACCTTCCCAAATTAAACATGTATTGAACAAGTTAAGATGCAGAAATACAAACCACAGACTGGTTATCAGTCTCCTGAGTTAAATTCCCCAGAGAAGCATGTCAATTCTTATTTTAAAAATCTTCTCGCACTCCCCTCACCTAGACAGGGACGAGGGCTGAGTTAGGAAAGGTGCTGAGCCCTCTCGCCCTGACCGAGCTGCACATTTAAACTGAAGTATGTGAGTAGTCTGCCTACGTGTTTACAGATGACGAGACAAGTAAAACGTTCTCCTGGACTGAGGCCAATGTGTTCTGCACTGAGCAGAACTGAACCTGTGTGCTTTTAAAATGGGAGCATTAGCAGCAGTGAAATGAATAAATTCCATCACATTGAGGATGTATCAGAGGAGAGCTCTGAAGTGCCCCTTCCCACGCTCAATACACAGCAATAACTAAGCGATAAATGTGTCTGTTTCATTTTTTTTTCCACTGTTAACCTATGCTTCATTTTTTATACTTCTGAACACCTACAGGAAAAGAAAGGAAATCAGACTGAATTAGAGCTTGTTCAAGTACAGATGTCTTAAAATGTTCACTACCAGATTTAAGAATGTATGTCACACAAAGCCCAGTGTCAACCAAAGGAGTACATCTCAAAAAAGTCATAAACTTTACGCACACCCTCCCCTCCACAAATACACTATGCCGTAAGTGAATCATGGTTGAAGCAGCACTGAAGTTCAGGGTTAGGTTTGAGCATGTGCTTGAGTTTTGTTCACTTCCACAAAGCAGGGGTGATTTTCACAAGGTAAGGAACTGGTCTCTGGAAGAGATTAAATTCTTCATGTATCGGAGGCAGGAAGCAGTAGTTAGATCAAAGAGAACAATTATCCTCTTCAGAAGCAGACAGCTTACTCAAGTCTCTCAAACAATGAAAGCAGATTGTCTTAAACATCAAGGAAAGGAATATAACTATCTTCCAAACAATAACTGAATGAATAAATCATTACACTTGGTAAGAACGGAATCATAACTAAGGATACTGGAAGTTGTCAAGGCCAGGTTGGATGGGGCTTTGAGCAACCTGGTCTAGTGGAAGGTGTCCCTGCCATGGCTGGGGGGTTGGAACTAGATGGTCTTTAAGGTCCCTTCTGATCCAAACCATTTTATGATTCTATGATATAAAGTAGTATCAGGAGTGGCTGATGGCACCGAGACTTTTGCAATGAGTCCATACAGATCAGGAAATCATCCAGAAAGAAGGTAAAGTACAGGTGTATTCGCATTCCGACTGATGGAAAACAGAGGGCCTGTTGATAAACGTACTTGGAGACATGCTAGACAACCAGCATCTGGCCTTCACAGTTTCTCAAATCAGAAAAAAAAATTATTGAAAAATCAATACTTCAAATGCACAGTTTCTTCCTCTATTCTCTGCCTTTAAGGTCACTATTCTATGACAGCCCAATTCATCAATTCTGAGATCTTGTTGGTAGTCAACACGTTCTATTTAGTTGTAAACTAAATCTCTAACTGTCCAGGAACATACCTGGATAATCCTTCTTTCTTCTATTCTCAACCCAGTCAATAATTTCTAATGTATTTTGACTTTTAGTCACCAGGATAAAAACTGTTCTACTTGGGCATTTTTCAGTTCTCCTACGCATGCTTCTGGCACCTTGACTACATTTTGCGGAGCTGCCATTTCAGGTAAGTAAAAATTTTCAGTTAATATATTCCATCAAGACATTAAGTAAGTCTAGACTGATTTCGTATCCTTTAAAAATAATTTTCACAATACATGCTGTAACTTCAACCCTCATCTAGCATAACCACAACAGAGATCTTATCCCCTGAATTCATTCAGTCATATTTTTGAAGACAGAAGGCACCATCAGGATCATCTAATCTGCATGGCACAGGACACTTCTCACATAATACATCCTAGAAATGTAAGTCCTAGAATTTCTTGTGCAATTTTACCATATGTTTTAGAAAGGCATCTAATTTGGGGTTACATTTTTTCACATACTAAGAGATAAATTCTTCAAATAATTTAAAATGCTAACTTTTCATGCAATATAGTTTAAATTCTATAATAATTTATTCTTTGTTTGCCAGTCAGAAATTTCTATTTGGGTTCTCACAGGTAATATTGAAATAATTTAACTTTAGTTGCATAATCAAATAGACTGAGCTCTGTATGACAAAAATTTCTTGATATTTTACATGTAAATTTGCAGGCTTACAGAACTGTTCCTTGGGATCCCTCTCCAAGAACCCTCACTCTAGAGGTCTCTAAGCCTCCATCTTAAAAGTGGACTATTGCCAACATTAGATGAAGTCAGCTGTGGTTTTCTCTAGCAGTGTCTCGAAAATCTCCAAGGATGGAGATGTTATGTCTCCTCTGGGTAACCTGCTCCAGTGTTGTACTAGTCAAAAAGATTTCTAACCTGCTACTTGAAAGTGCCAAGCAACCATTTGTGGTTCTTCACCTTCTTTATTCTACCCAGCACCACTAAGAAAATTTGGGTTCTATCATTGTTGTAACAGTCCTTCAGCAATTGTAGGCTGCCATGTAATCTTGGCCTCCTCTTCTTCAGACTACTAAAACAAAGTAATCTCTCTCAGACTCTGTTGACAGGTCATGTGCTCCTCAGCTCTCAGTAGCTTTCAGCTAAACCTTTCCTCAGCATTTCCGTGAAACTGAAGGAAACAAAACTGGATGAAGCATTCCAAATGTGGGTCAACAGCACAGAATAGAAGGGCGTGACAACTTCCTTCAGTATTCCAGCCACATTTTGCAAAAATGTGTTTTGTTTTAATATGGTAAGACCGAACTGTTGACTCATGTTCAACTTGATGTTGTTTATCATGCCCCAGGTTCTTCACAGAAAGGCTGCTACCTAGATAGTTGGTATCCAGCCTGTACTGATGCATGGGGTTAACCTGTCCGAGCTGCAGAAACCCAATAAAGTTTCTGTTGGTTCAGCTCTCAAAGTTTTCAAAACCTGCCTGGACTGAAGCTACATCAACCAGTGTGCCAGCCACTCTTAATTTACCATCATCAACAGATTTGCAGAATCTGCATTTTGTATCTTTGCCCACATTTTTCTCCACATTGTTGATGAAGATATTGAACAATACAGGCCCCAGTATCAATCCCCAAAATATTCAGTTTTACGCTGTTGCCACCTGTTAGGTCAAGCCATTGGCTATTATCCTTCACATCCAGCAGTCCCAGGGATTTGAAACACTTTGCAACAACAAGACAGGCACAGGAACACAAAATTACACTAAAAGATAACATGGAGTTATGCTTCAAAGTCCCATCTGAGATGATAAAGAAAAAAGTATTCTAGAAATTTAACAAGGATAGTTTAACTTTTACAGGCATCCCATAATGTAACGTGAAAACTGCAAAAATAGATTAATCCCCAGAGCAGTTATGTTAAATTAAATAATTTATCAACGGCTACTGTCAGCAAATGGACTACAAAACTCTGAAGATGCATGCTGTCAAAGGCTAGTCAATATGCCTCATAGTATGTCCCTATCAGAACGTTGCAAGTTTCTTTACAATGTGAAATAAAAAAATACCAATCAAAGGTTTATTAAAAGAAAGGTGTTGCTGAGGGATTTTTCCAATAGGGACTTAATTTCTCTCTACAAATTTTCTACAGCAGTTGTCTGAACACTAGACTTAATTTTGTTCTTATATACTAAATGAATACTTACACTTCTTCTCTGTATTAGTATTTTTTTGTGTAGTAAAATTAACTACATATCTGTGAAATGTAATTGCTTTCTCCTTTCAATCCTCCTCTCTAAAAGAAGCCTTTCTTAAAGGTGGATTTTACAGTGATGCACTAAAACAGCACTAAATAAAATAGCTTTTATCATCAATAACTGGACTATATTTTCTTCCCAATACACTTTAAGAAACCCACATCTTGGCATGGAAACTCACAGTTCAAGGATAGCCATTCCATCAGCCCTACCAGTTTTAGAATCATCTATAAATAACCATAAACACAGGAAATATACACAGGCGGATAGCATAGGTGATATATCAACTTTAAGGAAAAACCAAAGCAGAAGACAACAGCAGATCATCTTTCCTCTTCACTTCTTAAGATTACAAACAGTAATTATTTCATCTTACATCATCCCTGCTTTGGAAAAAAAATAATGTTCCTTTATCTCTACTTTTCTAAGATATATTTTATAGAGTCAAACGGAATCAATAACATGGGATAAAAAGGGAGAGGAAAGAGCGAGCACATTACTAGGAACAAAGTGTTACTCCAGGCCAAAAGAGTTTAAAGGAAATGGCATTCAATGTTGGGAAGTCACAGCAAGTTTGTGAGAATGCTATAACCTGTAAGTAAGGCTTTCTTTTAAGCCTACACAATACCCACTTGCTCTTCTTCACAGTTTTTATTTTTCAACTATTTTTTCTTGAAAATAAGAAATGATACAGGATGTTTTAATCAAGAACCAACTTCAATTTAATACAAGTGAAATTTTCCAAATTCTGTTCTTGGAAGGAGTAGCAAGTCATTCCAACAGGACTGAAGTCCTCTTTCATTAGTACAAAAGCAAGTTTGCTGGGAATCTTTCCTACATGAAGAAATCTTGAAACCCCTAATGATACGCCACCTTGAAGCAATCTCAGACTGAAATCAGATACAATAAATGACACTGATTACACTGCCTCACTGGTTTATCAAAAGAACTAAAAATACATAGTTTTTCTCCCTCTATAGTAGTACTAGTCACTCTGAGCAGTTAAGAAGCTGAGTTATGTAGTGTACAGCAGTTCAAATACTTTGCATGCTTTCCTTGGAACATACTGAAGGATGCAGTAGATAGGACCTGGCACAGTAAATGTGTGCTTAGTCTTCCAAAAATGTG